CATCAACTCCTATACCTCCCCCCATCAACTCCTATACCTCCCCACATCAACTCCTATACCTCCCCCATCAACTCCTATACCTCCTCCTCATCAACTCCCATACCTCCCCCATCAACTACCATACCTCTCTCCACATCAACTACCATCTCTCCATATTAACTACCGTACTACCTCCCCATTTTTTTGAGACTAGGCTTCATATAAGCCAGGGTGGCCTTGACTGACTTGTATGTAGAAAGATGATCTTGACTTCTGATCCCCTTGAATCTACTTCCAAAGGGCAAGGATGACAGACATGTGATATTGTGCTCAGTTTAAGCAGCACTAAGGATCAAGCCACATTTTTGTGCACGATAGTCTAGTACTCTATCAACTGAGCTACATTGTCAGCCCCTCAATCCCTTTAAGGTGAGAGATTTAGTTTATTATTAGATAACTGAAATTTAAAAATTATTCTCTTTTTGCTTAAATAAGGCTTTGAAACACCTGTTCACCAGCCAGAGCACTGGCATTGGACGAAGAGGACGTCGCCTGACTACAGACGACCTAGAAGCTTACATTTATGTCTTCTCACAGCCTGGAGCACTAAGTGGTCCAATGAACCATTATCGGAACATTTTCAAGTCAGTATAATTTCTTTGGGGTTAAGTAAAGTATTTCAATCTAAAGAGAAAATATTTTTTTATTTTTAAATTAAGTTTACTACTTATTCCCCAGACATACCATTCTCTCTCTCTTTCTCTCTGTCTCTGTCTCTGTCTCTGTCTCTGTCTCTCTCTCTCTCTCTGTGTGAGTGTGCATATGTGTGTGCTCATACTATATAGTGCTCATGTGGCAGAGAGAAGACAATGTTGGGTGTCAGCCTTCATCTCTGTCACCTTGTTTGAAGCAGAGTCTCTTGTTTTTCTGCTACATACCCCCAGACTAACTCACCCATGAGCCTCCAGGGACTGTCCATAGGAACACTGAGATTTCAGGTGTTACGTTACTTGTAGATTTGAACTTGGGTCCTCATGCTTGTGTGGCCAGCACTGAGCCATCACCACAGCCCCAAACACAATATTCTGATTCTTTCATAGAAAATTTAAAGCATGGAAAAGTAGAGAATAATATGATAGGTTCCCCCCCCCCGCCAACACACACAATGTGGCCATTGCTTGTTTTATCCATAATTCTATGCACTTATTCTTTCCTTTTGAGTAGATTTGTTTTTATTATATTGCAATGACCATGTATTAATTCACTCAAAAAACATTTTAGAGAGCATTTTATGTCCTGGTCTGTCAAGGTGCAATGTTGAGTAGAACAAGACGAGGACCCTGAACTCAACCTTGCCCCATGTAGATAAATAACCACCATAATGAAGCCATGTAAGTTACAGACGCACAGAGAAACTTTGAAAGAAAGGGGTGAGAAGTGAGGAGACAAAGTCTGAACAAAGAAGTCAAGACTGGCCAAGGCGAGGGGACTAGAAAAGGGAACAGCAAGGTCTGAGGCTGTGTGGGAAGTGGAGACGGGGGGGGGGGGGGGGGGGGGG